AGGCAGAGAGTACAGTAGGATTTTATCTATCTAATGGTACAGAGCTGAGTTCCAAAGAATGCATCTTACTTCTACCCCAGACTCCAGAAATATATTGAAGCGTCCTGAGTCTCTTAAATTTCAGTAGTAACAGTTGCTGAATCAGCTGCATTGCATTTATTGTCGATTGCTATTAGGGCTAGCACATTAGATTGGTCTTAAATGGTAATACTGAATTGGATGCTGGATTTATATCACTATTATCATTTACAAAAACTTTGCTTCATCATTTAAACATATCTACTACACATTACATGGCTTCTTGTCTCAGTCAGATTCAGAAAAACTGCATTCCTTTTTTTTCTGGTCTATTGCATTGCTGGGGCAGCACGGTGACACAGTGGTTAGCGCTGTTGCCTCACAGCGAGAAGGTTCTGGGTTCGGGCCCCACCCGGGACCTTTCTGTGTGGAGTTTGCATGTTCTCCCCGTGCTTGCGTGGGTTCTCTCCGGGTGCTCCGGCTTCCTCCCACTGACCAAAGACATGCAGCTTAGGTTGATTGGTGTCTCTAAATTGCCCATAGGAGTGCGAGCGTGTATGTGTGGTTGTTCGTCTATGTGTTGGCCCTGCGATGGATTGGCGACCTGTCCAGGGTGTACCCCGCCTTCGCCCAATTGCCGGCCGGGATTGGCTCCGGCCCCACCCGTGACCCCGTTCAGGGACTAAGCGGTAGAAAATGAATGAATGAATATTGCGTTGCCCTCCTTGCTGGTCTACCTACTGTAAAAAGACTGGAGGTTAATTCAGAAATCTGCACTGGCTACTAGTTACTTTTAGGATTGACAAGAAAATTTTACTCCTTTTCTTTAAAACTCAAAATGGCCTCGCTCAACCCTTCCTGACCTACTCCTTCAGTATGAACCTTCCAGAATTATCAGGTTTTCTGCATAATCATTCCCAGAGTTAAAACAAAAGCTGGTTAAGCACGGTGAGTGTTCCTTGGAGTGAAATGTGCTATATAAATAAACTTTGTTTCTGCTTTACGCAGTGTCTTAAAATGCCCAGCATCACATTTTATTCCACCCCACTTAATTAAGGAGGTAACAGTATAACTGCTTTCACCTTCACTCCATATGTGTCAGCATGGCTTCCTATTTAAACTGATTGACATTAAACTAAATGCCTTCCTTGCTCCTCTGCACATTACTGAAACACACACATACACACACACACACATACACACACACACACACACACACACACACACCATGCCAGAAATGTTAATTGATGACAGATGCTGTCCACTGAGAGCAATTGGCCTTGGCTACCTCACATGTATCCCATCTGAGCTGCTGAGAGTCCCCCATACACAAGGATTTCACTCACTCACTCACTCACTCAATCACACACACACACGCACACACCAGGAAGCTGGATTAAAGAGAGTAATAGTGAGGTCAGGGATACACAACCAGCAAGCCTGGCACTTTTCATAACTCTCGCATACACACAAATGCCCCTACTTGAGGCTCAAAGGTACAGCCCCAGAAAAATATATGCTACATCACTGTATTAGGGGAACTTACAGACCCTTAAAATCTTAAAGGATCAGAATCAGCTTCATTGGCCAGGTGTGTTGGACACATGAGGAATTTGACTCTGGTACAGCAGCTCTCAATATGTATGCACATATTCTTATGTAAGTCAATAGCAAAGGGCAAGTAAACAATATAAGGCTGAGAAAACAGAAAGTAAGGAAGAAATGTGCAAACAAAGAAATGTGTGTGCATTAGGAAATTAGATAAAATAAAAATAGAGACCATACATATACAGTATATATATATATTCTTGTGTACACCCCCCAACACACACACACACACAGTCTAGATGCATTTGACGGATCTGTATGTACAATGTATATTTACAGGTATTGCACTGAGGAAAGGTAAAGAGGACTTTGTTATGTTAGTTCGAACACGGCAATGAACGAGCAATAACGACGGACCCAGGTAGCTGACTTCGGTGCAAGCGGTGATAGGTTTATTTACAGTGTAACGTAAAGCGCAATAAACAGATAGGTGCTGAATGGAATTGAGTAACCAGATGTTGATCTGTGGCAGAGATAAACAGTCAATGGTGTGATGAATGGTTACAGACCGGGCTGCGGACGCTGGGCTCACTCCTGAACTGGCTGTGGTTGAAGTGATGATGGCTGAGGAGACAGGAGCATGCATAGATGGTTAATGGAGACTGTGCATCGACCTGTATGGAGGAGACTGGTTGGGTTGAGTGGTTGCAGGATCCAGAGGAGAGGTCTGTAGACAAAGGAAGAAGCGCAGAAGCAAAGGGCAAAACGAATAGGACAAGACTAAAATATAACTGGAGAACTAGAGCAAACAGTGAGCAAAGGGGGCCTGAAAAATAGGGATTGATCTGGCAAGGGAGTGTTAGGTATTTTTAGTCAGATAGAAATTGGATAGATACTTTATGTATTAGAAATGTTTAGTGGAGATAGGATGTCTAGTTAGACTGTTAAATGCTTAGGCATGCTTATGAGTTTCTACAGGGTACATCTGGTCAAGGATAACTAGAGAGAAGAGTTGATGACTGTCAGCAGACAGGGTGTTTAATATTATTATTACGACATGTATAACTGTAGCCTTAGCCATAATATGTTCTTATGTTTAAGTCACGACATGTACTAGAGGTCGTGAGAATGTTTTTAGCTACACACCACTTAACCAACAGACACACACACACATTGATTTGCTTCATGTTTTGACTACTGCTA